AAGGTTGTCCTGACATTGTTTCTGAATTACTCAGTTCTAGAAAAACTTATCAGTTGGACTGCTCCTGACCCAAACTCCCTGGGGAGAAGGCTCATCCATCACTGAGTCTGTTTGTCCAATGATTGCATCCATTCAGGCCTTCCTCTCACCTCCTGGCATCTATCAGAGCTCTTGCTTAAAACCGCCAAACAAGGCAGTGAGCCCAAAGAAACAAGTGAGCCAGCAGGGAAATAGGAACACATTTCCAGAAAGGCAAGGCATGGGGAAGGGAAAACATTACCCACCAGGAAACAGGGTCTTTATGCTGTGGAGGGACAGAGCGCAGCCCCACCAGGGAAAACAATAGCCTTCTCAAAGTATTGGGTGGACCAGGACCTTCTGTAGCAAGGTTTATGCACCAGAGGATGCAAGCTGTCAGAGAAGACAGGGAAGGCCTTACACTAAATTGTTCAGTTTTAAGGTTCCCACCCCATTTGTCAACCTAGAAATAAAGCCACTGTCACTTGGTAAAGAAATGACCCAGTGAAATGGGTAACTCCTGTCTGTCACACAGTGACTCTGGGGCATCCACAGAAACCCTCTTCCTCTGTTGAGAGCTGATAGTGTTAGAGCACTTGACCTCTGAAAGTCATGTGCCCTCTAAAAGATGAGACGTCAAAACCATTGGATGTGACACGATGATTAAGCTTTGCCAGGGTACACTGTGGGGAGTGAAGGCAGCAGAAGCAAACATTCAAGAAACTGGGGAAGTGGAAAATGAAGGCAAGACTTTTAGCTCCTAAATTTCCCAAAATTTTCATGACAATCTAACTTGCAATATTCTGTGCTCATTTCTCCTGGAGCAAACGTGTACTTAGCAGGTGAGACACTTATTGTTTATAACATCAGGTAAGGTCTAAAGTACACAGCATGTGCTAAGTACTGCTCTTTGTGTATATACAACTTATATAAAGAAATTCATTATGTAAATAATTACACATGGTAATCCATTTTGACATTTCCATATATGTAATATACTTTGATCAAATTAAACTCTTTGATTACCCTAAGTTTACATTTTGATTAATAGATTTATTAATCATTCCTCCACCTAACCCCTCCTAAATTCACCCAAAGTAAGCCATTGACTCTAATTTATACTGCCCATCCACTTAGAGGTATGGAATCATCGCTTGGGCCCTGGTCAACCTACCAGAGGCCATACCCTTAAAGAAAACTAACCTTCCTTCTGCCAGAAGTCATCAATTGTCAGTAACTCTTCAGCTACAGGAGGGGTAGGGACTCACGAGCCTGCCTTCCATCCATACTGGAATATTGACTGGCTTGGTCTCCTGCCGGCTGCCATAGCTGCTGAGTTGAAGTGTATAGAGGTCCTGTCGTGTCCAGAACACATTGTTTCACACCAATTCTCCAAGACCCCTCACTCTTATAATCATTCTGTCCACTATTCCACAGTGGCCCCTGAATCTTAGAGGGCAGGGGTGTGGTATATGTTTCCCATTTGTGGTCGAGCAGTCCACAGACATTTCTTCTTTGTTCCTTGACTATTTATGAGTTTCTGCATTGACCACTGTCCACTAAGAAAATCTCCACTGAGGTCAGAGCAGTGCTTGGATCTATGGGTTCTGTTATCCTTGCTTATTCCTCCTTCCAGTCTCCCTTTTCCAGCTTTAAAAAAGCAAGTTCAAGTTACATGAGTCAGTCTAAAGGTGATAACAAGTAGTCTCCCAGAAGACAACAGAGAAATGATTCGACCAGAGAGCTTGTCAGTCCAGTACATCCTGCACACTTCAAGAGCCACTGAGATTCTGCTCTTAAACTCATGGCCTTCACCAAGAAAATACGTTGGCATAGTATACATTGATAATTCGTGTGTTATTTTTTCACATAATGATTGCTTGTAATAAAATACAAAGCTTTACTTCTGGATAGACAAAAATCTAGTGGGAAAAGTACTGTGTGCTTTCCAAACCCTCAAGAGATAGTGTCTGGTCAATTCAAATGCACCAATATTAACTGTGCCTTCTGAATAAACCATCTCTACCAGATAATGTCGATTTGATTAAAATTACAAAGGCAGACTTAAAGGAGAAAGTGGAAACACTTACAAGAATCTTTTAGGTATATTAGAATTGAGTTTCAGTTAATTTTTTTTATGCGTGGAAGGGAGTGTCTAAAATCTTCCTGCTTCAATATCAGCTCTAACATTCCTGCAAGTGCCTGGTGCAAGGCCTAGCACATAGTAGAACCTACTAAATATATAAACACAACCACCTATTTCACTCTTTTTCATTTTCTTTCTACCAAGAAAAATCAAAGTGAGGGCCAGGTTCTTGAGCAGGCTGAGCTGACACACAGAACAAAACTGTTCCCCCAAAGGAAGGAGATTCAGACTTCAAGAAAGAAGCCATTAATCAGACTAAACTGTAGTCCCATCATGTCAGCTTCTATGTAACTACTTTGTCCTCTTGACATTCCAGCCTTGGACAAATATGGGAGCCCCTGTAGCCATAGGACCCTGATGAAGCACACCTGCTAAACAGCTGAGAATCATGGTGGCCACTGGTCAGTTGTCTAAGTCAAAGACATGGGAACAATTTATAGGTGTTTTAGAAACCTCTTAATTTAAACTACCAAACTATATGATCCTAAGAGAGCCAGATGATTTAGACCTCACCTGATTTCTTCAGCAATGAACTAAGAAGATCAAACAGGGCTAGAGCTGTGAAAATGTCATGACCATATGATCAAGAGTCTAGTTCTGAAGATTTGCCTTATTGTGTTTGGGTGTATATGTATGTGTGCATGTGTCTGCAATTGCTGTGTGCAGGTGTTTATGTGTACACAGATGCATGTGTATACAAGTACATATAGAGGACAGATAACAACCTTGGTTACCCCACCTCAGGACCGCCCACCTTATTTTTGAGATGGGATCTTTCGCTGGCTGGGCTGAGTGACTAATCAGTGAGCCACCAAGGATTTTCTGTCTCCAATTCTCAATGCTGTGATCATAACCATATACCCAGCTTTTTAAGTGAGTGCTGGAACCAAACTCAGGTCATTATACATATGTGGAAAATGCTTTACTAAGATATTTCCCCAGGCCTAGATTTGCTTCATTTTTTCAAAAAAAAAAATGAATTTACATATTGGAGCAAATTTTTGTTTTCTGAAAATGATCACTACAGTTATCTAAGTTTTGATTTTTAAGAAAGGCATTTTTTTCAAGACTAAATGCAATTTTCAGACTACTCTCAAAAACTACATCTACATAGAAGAGTCAAGTGAAGTGCAGCATCTTAATTAGGCTTCCTGCAGGAATGCTGGCTTTTTGATTTGTCCATATGAGCAGGTCAGTGCTATAGACAGCTGGAGAACCATCACAGTGGCTTAGAGTAAAGAGCCCTTTTAGAACTATAAGCATGAAGTCTGTAAGTGGACATGGAAAGATAAGGGCAGGATGTCTACAGGGTTTGCTACTTTGCCACCACATCTAGATATTTAATTCCTCTGGGATCCATGGAAAGAAACAGCAATAGAATCAGGTTGTTGGGGTTTTAACCCCAGTAAAATCTAGAAACTTAACTTTGCTCATAGAGTCAGAATTTTTTAGAGGTGCATGGTCTAGACTTGGAAGCATATAAAGAGCTGTCACTACTCAAAAGACCTCCCTTTGTTTTCAATTCTGACAGGTTCTAACCTAAAAAGTCAGGGGAAATTTTCTCCAGTAACTAGTTCTCTTTCATACTGTGAGTGTTAGGTTCTTTCTCAGTGGTAAAACACCTGAGAAAACCAACTTAAAGGAGGAAAGTCTTGTCTGATTCATGGTTTCAG